CTTACTTTCATTCTAATGTCAAACCTGTGAAAGTAATTTGGGGTTATCCATCTCAAATACAAGTAATTGCTAAGTCTACAAAAAGTATATATAGCCCTTTTCCTTTTAATCTTACAAGATAAGCATCTGAATAGGTTTGTTCAGCCAACCTTTCACCATTTACTCTTTGCTCTTCATTCCACTGTATCCTTCTTTGTGATCAAAATAAACAGCAAACTGTAAAGAGCTTTATAATAGTTACTACTCTTTAGTTACTTAAAATATCATATTTATGATGTTTCATTTAGGACAGACATAAAATAGAATCCTTATATTTTCATATAGTTTGCTTAAAAGTTATTAACCATGTTTTCGTCCAATGAATTCTTGGGTACAATACAGGCTTAAGGATCTATCAACTAGAATAACTTAAGCTCTAACAACCAGAATATTACATAAATAGTCATGGATGCCAATAAGCAGATTACCTCAGAGAGATGTGAAAGTGGGGTGGGTGACCTTCAGCTCTGTTTGCAATACTTTATTTCATTTAAAATGAAATGCAGACCAGGCATGGTAGCTCATGGAGGCCAAGGCAGGCACTTGAGGTCAGGAGTTTGAGACCAGCTTGGCCAACATAAGGACACGCTGTCTCTACTAAAAATACAAAAATCAGCCAGGCGTGGTGGTGTGCGCCTATAATCCCAGCTACCTGAGAGGCTGAAGCATGAGAATCACTTGAACACAGGAGGCAGAGGGTGTAAGTGAGCCAAGATTACACCATTGCACTGCCGGGGTGACAGAGTGAGTCTGTCTCAAATACATGACTGTTTATTGCATTGTTTTTTCTGTTCTGTCATATTCACATTTTTTCCATAAAAATCTCTCAGTCAGCAACTGAAGGAGAAAAAAAACTCATTCAGGAATTATTTTACCTGTTACTTGTATTTATTTTCTATTTTATTTGCACTGCACTCATATACATGAAACATACATAGTTCACTACTTTGGGTGCTTCATTTATGTATGAAATTAATGACCTTTTATTCAAAGCACCACTGTTGTTCGTTAGAGGAATGACTAATATTACAGAAGGTAATGACTCACTGCAGAGGGATTTTGCTAAAGGCAAGATAAAGCTTTATACCTTTAGGTGGGAATAAATTACAGCTTCATACAAATGCACTCACCAGGAAATTAAAGGCAGTAAATCTATGACCTGAATGCAAACTACTGTAATGGGATGCTATTCAGAGATTTTCCAGGAGTACAAGCAAATCCTTTTAGAGTTTCAGCAATAAAAAAAATGCTATGTGGTACTTAACCATCAAAACACAGTCTTTGCAATTATTCTTCAGGAGGAAACTTTTGCTGCTTACATAAAATAACCTCAGGGGCAAAGAGTAAAGAAAATATCAAAGACAGATAAAGGAAGCTGATAATTACTTTTAAAGATTAATGTTTTACAGACAGAGGCAAAAGCTACCATGGATATCTCACTATTAATTCATTCAAATGATTAGAAGAAAAAAAAAACACATCAAGTGTGGCATTTTGTTCCAAATGACTGTGGATTCATATAGTAAAAACGTACTTGTTCCCAGACCCCAGTGATCCTCCCGCCTCAGCCTCCAGAGTAGCTGGGACCACAGGCATGTGCCATCACACCTAGCTACTTGTTTCTTTCTTTGTAGAGACAGGGTCTCCCTATGTTGCTCAGGCTAGAACCTCATTTTGAATACCATTCTGATTTCTCACAGAATACGTTATATTTTTAAGTATCTTACTAATTTAAGAAGATTAAGTATTATGATCTATTCACATTCTTAACCAGCTTTCTACTGCTTGATTTAAACACTCTTTTCCTAAATGCCTTTCTGTTAATTTGCTGCATAAGCAGTTCATAAGTTATTTTTTTGTCACTGCTATTTGACTATTTTAGTCAGATGCTTGTCTGGACTCTTCTAAGTCTTATAAAGATAACTAACAGTTGTGTTCTACTTAGTATCTTTTAGTAGAGTCTTCACCAAAGATGATGCTAGGCATCTACAATAGTAACTTCCAGCAAAATGGCATCCTGATTATTTTAGTATTGGGTAACAGTTTAGGAAAATAACTACACTGTACTCTGTAAAGAATCAAATTCAAAATGCCAAGTGCTTCAGGCATTTGTCCTTACAAAAAGCACCATGCTATCCCCTCCCTGGAGCGAGTCCAGGCTCGAAAGAGTTTACTGTGATACAGAAATACCACAAAGGGTCCAGTGTGACTCATAACACTTCTGGTGCAGATCAAAACTAAGTTATATAGTTTTTCTTTTAGGGTAGCAGTATGGCAGATAAGAAAAAAAGTGAACTAGAAAGTAAAAGTGATCTGGATTTAACTTCTGGGCTTTACTGCCTAACTTTGGGCAAATTACTTAACCTTTGAAAATATGAGAATTCTCACTGGGTACATGTAAACATGCATGTGAAAATAACATGTATAAAATAAACCTAGCAGGCATCTACTGAATATTAATTTCCTTTGTTAGATTATCAGGTTATAGCTGGGCACGGTGCCTCACGCTTGTAATCCCAGCACTCTGGGAGGCAGAGGCGGACAGATCATGAGGTTAAGAGATTGAGACCATCCTGGCCAACATGGTGAAACCCCGTCTCTACTAAAAGTACAAAAAGTTAGCCGAGCATGGTGGTGATTGCCTGTTGTCCCAGCTACTCGGGAGGCCGAGGCAGGAGAATTGCTTGAAATTGGAAAATGGAAGTTGCAGTGAGCCGGGATTGCACCACTGCACTCCAGCCTGGCAATAGAGCGATACTCTGTCTCAAAAAAAAAAAAAAAATCAGGTTATAATGGAGTCTTTTAACACTATCTTTAAAATACTCAAAAAGAGGCTGAGTGCAGTGGCTCACGCCTGTAATCCCAGTGCTTTGGGAGGCTGAGGCAGGTGGATCACTTGAGATCAGGAGTACAAGACCAGACTGGCCAACACAGCAAAACCTCATCTCTACTAAAAATGCAAAAATTAGCTGGGTATGGTGGCATGTGCTCATAATCCCAGCACTTTGGGACACTGAAGGAGGGTAGATCATTTGAGGCCAGGAGTTCGAAATCAGCATGGCCAACATGGTGAAACTCTGTCTCTACTAAAAAAAGAAAAGATTAGGTGGGCATGGTGGTGTGAGCCTGTAATTCCAGCTACTTGGGAGGCTGAGGCAGGAGAATCACTTGAACCCAGGAAGTGGAGGTTGCAGTGAGCCAAGATTGTGCCACTGTACTCCAGCCTGGGTGACAGAGTGAGATTCTATCTCAAAAACAAAAAACAAAACAAAACAACTCAAAAAGAGCAATGGGTATCACAGTGTCTCAGTTCACCTTTAATGGTTTATGTATCTTTTTCTTTATTTTTTCCATTCTTATGTACATACTCAGTTCATTTCTATATCTATATCATGCCTGGTATCTGCTTACTTTGGGACCCCGTGAATTATATAATCACAGAGTTTATGGACATCTAAAATATTATTCAAGCTTCTAAGAAGGCCCTTCCTAAATAATCTGAAAACTATGACCTACTTTATTTCTAAGAACCTCTCAAGGAGACTGCCTATCTTCTATTTATCTACCTACCTACCCACCTACCTACCTATTTTGAGACAGGGTCTTGCTATGGTGCCCACACTGGTCTGTCTGTCTATCTCTCTCTCTATCTATCTCTCTATCTATCTATTAATCTATCTATCTATCTATCTATTAATCATCTATCTACCTACCTACCTATACCTACCCACCTATTTTGAGATAGGGTCTTGCTATGGTGCCCATGCTGGTCTCAAATTCCTGGGCTCAAGCAATCATACTGCCTCAACCTCCTGAGTAGCTGGGATTATAGAAGCACACCATCATGCAGGGATAAAAGAGAAACTTAATCAGCACTGGTAACTCATTATGAGGCAGAATAGGGTCTGGAGGCAGGGGACCTAAGGCTGATTCAGGCTGACTTTCTAGAACTAAATCAAACCCCAACTTTCCACACCCAAGTAGCAGAAGGACCAGTGGCCTCTCCCTTTGTAACCCCTCCACCCTTTTTCTGCATGGCAGATGCAAAATCGAAAGTACTTCTGATTGGTCCCCTCCCACAACCAATCAGGATGGTTGTGGGCCAAGTCTTCATTTGCATAGGAGTATAACTTTGTAACTTCACTTCAGCCTCTCAAATGTTTGCACAGGGTATAACTTTGCTTCAGCCTCTGATTGGTATCCTCCCACAACCAATCAGACTGATCGTGGGCCATTACTTCATTTATATAAAGTGTACACCAAGTAACCAATGGAAAACCTCTAGAGGGTATTTAAGCCCCAGAAAATTCTATAATGGGCTCTTGAGCTGCTTGCTTGGGCCTGCTCCCACCCTGTGGATTGTACGTTCATTTTAAATAAATCTCGCTTTTGTTGCTTCATTCTTTCTTTGCTTTTTATGTATGTTTTGTCCAATTCTTTGTTCAAGATGCCAAGAATCTGGACACCCTCCACCAGTAACAATCATAAAAAATTCAGATTCCTACTACATCAAATGATGCAATTAAATTTCTTTTTATCTTTACATTGCCTGCAAAGATGACAAATTACAGGACTACCATACAACATTCCTTGAAATATAAAAACTGTAACCAGGCTCTTTCCATCAGGCTCCTCTCAGGCCAATAAAGTAGTATCACTGTTTATCAAAGCTTCTATGTATTAATATAAACACACAACACAGTTTTATAGTAGGAAACTAAAATGAGCTTTTAGGGTTTATTGTATAAACTTATTAGCTATGGAAACCCTGGGCAAGTAACTTGCTTCTCTGAGCTTAGCTTCCATGTCTGTGAAATGAGGACAGTATCACATTTCTTATAAAATCACTTAAAGAATAAATTAAATGAAATAAGGTAGACATTCAAAACACAGTCACTACCTTCATCTTAATAAAGTAAAAACAAGGCTAAAGAGAAAATGAGGGGAAATAAAACACATACCATGTTTACCGCATCTTGATCAAAAGGGTTCCATTCTATATTCTGAGGATAGTGGGCAAGAACTTTGGATTTGAATGTTCTTCTCAAAGGACTCTGGTCAAAATTTTCACCTACAACAAATAATTAATACATAGTTATTATCTAGGACTGTTTCAAAAGCATGTCATAATTTTATATTTATTTTATAGAACTACTGACTGATAATGTTGAGATCTGATTCAATACACTCTAACCATCTGAGTTGTAAAATCCCAAAGGACAACTAAAAAACTGTTAACAGGTCAGCATTTAAAACTTTATAATCTGAACTTTAAAATCCTGGCTACTCAACTGATACTAAAAATCAAGATATGGCAATATAATCATTGCTATACCCTAATTATTGTTCACATTTCAATGTGTGGTAATAAAAAACTATATGAAAACATTTACTTCAGTAAAGAAACATCTCGTATTAAGCTAATCAGACATCTTATGATCCTGAAATTTTACACACACTTAGACTCCATGCTGCAGTGCTCCAAGGAGGCAATTTTGCTTGAGTTTCCATGGAAATCTCTGAGAAATTTAATTGCATATCCAGGTTCTTAAGTAACAAAATTAACAGAATTAGAAACATCATTGCTGAGTCAACCTGTTTAGTAGACAGAACACATTAAACACACTAATCTTTTAAAAATAAATGAGCTATCCTAAGTCAAATTCATTGTCTGGCAAAATTCTGGAAAGATAAAAGTAGGCTACATTTTAATCATATATAAGAAAATTCAGGACAGGCATCATAGCTCACGCCTGTAATCCCAGCACTTTGAGAGGCTGAGGCAGGAGGACTGCTTGAGCCCAGGAGTTTGAAACCAGCCTGGGCAACATGGTGAGACTCCCTTTTTTTTTTTTTTAATTTATAAATTTTTTAAAAAGTAAAAAAATGAAAATTCAGTAATAGCTATCAGGTTTTTTTTTTTTTTAAACCTCCTCAACCAGAGTAATTCCCTTAATACCTATTGGTTTTATGAAATATTTTAATGTGGATGGATCTTAAATTCCCAATGTCAAGAATTTGGGATCAAGGAATTAGAAAACCTTGAAACAATTTCATTGTGTTCTGTTTTCCTACTTTTAAAGTCCTAATTAAGTACAAAATACTAGGTGTTACAGCAGAAGATAAATGTCACTTACCAGTATTTATACAATTAAAAATATCACAAAGCAATTTGATCTATGAGTTGTTTTTAACTTCTAGTTAAACTCAGTTTCCATTTCGGGTAAAAATATGAAAAGAAACACCTCTGAATGCAAAACAGTCACAGGAGGAGGAAAAAAATCACACTAAAAAATCTTGCTGTAGACTGCAATATAAAATACACAGGAACTTTTTTGAACAAGGACACATAATTTAAATATATTTGCTGAGGCAACTAAAGTACTATTTCTAACTGAAGTCCTTGGTTAATGATCATTATTTTCTTTAGATTCCTGACTTATTTGGGCAAACATTTCATCTCTGTATTTTTCTTCTCCATACTTCCATCTTCTAAGAGTTGACAGCATTCACTTCTAGAAGAGAAACCGTCAAAGACAACCCTAAGGAGAGTTTATCAATTTTTGCACTACACTTCTAGAGTATGTAAGCATCAAAAAGTCAACAGAGGAATGTGAAACTGTCTATGACAGTCAATGTGGCTGAAGAACAGATTCAGGGCTTAGAATTGATTTCAGGAAGAGTCAATGATATTTTAAAGCTGATGCTGGATTTTTCTGTAAACACTAAGAAAGTTTAAATTATTCACTTCTTTATTTAAACAAAAGTTACTTGGCCAGACATGGGGGCTCATGACTGTAATCTCAACACTTTGGGAGGCCAAGGTGGGCAAATCCCTTGAGCCCAGGAATTTGAGACCAGCCTGGGCAACATAGTGAAACCCTATCTCTATTTTAATAAATATTATATAATTTTAAAAAGTTACTTTCCATTTCACTTTAGAGAAAAACCAAAATTCCTCCCAGTTCTAAAAGTCTATGCTGCTGACTGTGTACTGACACAGCAACAGAGTATCCTCATCATATACAGAAATCAAGAAACTCTCTCCTGGCCAGGCACAGTGGCTCACGCCTGTAATTCCAGCATTTTGGAGGTTGAGATGGGCAGATCACGAGGTCAGGAGCTCGAGACCAGCATGGTCAACAAGATGAAATCCCATCTTTACTAAAAATACAAAAATTAGCCCGGTGTGGTGGCAGGTGCCTGTTAATTCCAGCTATTCAGGAGGAGGAGGCAGGAGAATCACTTGAACCCGTAAGGTGGAGGTTGCAGTAAGCCGAGACTATGCTACTGCACTCCAGCCTTGGTGAGAAAGCAAGACTCTGTCTCAAAAGAGAAAAAAAAAAAAAAAAAAACCCTCTCCTTCACCTACCTTCTAACACCAAAAATACTTGCTTTTATTATCCATAAATGTAAATAAAATATGAAACACTGCAGGAGCAGAAGAAACAAGATATAACCTATCATGTAACTCCTTGCAACACTTACCTTTTAATTCAGTTCTGCCTGTGTATAGTTAAAATAACATCTTCATTCACGTATCAAGTTATTAATGGGACAGGAGATATATCAGAAAGGTCATGAAAGTGCCATTCTCAATATAAGTGTTCTGTTAACTAAGGAACATTGCACCTTCTTGAGGCACAAAGAATCAGTGAGAAGGAAACCGCCTCCAGAAAGAAATAATTTTACAAAAATAAAACAGCTACAAAATAGTAACACAAATCTAACAAAAGAAAAGCAAAACCACCACCATCACCGCTTATTAGACTGCTTAAAAAAGGGATAACAAGAAAGATCACTGTTATATATACACAGCTGTCTTGGCAAATATGATTTGGAAGAATATTAGGGGAAGAACCAACTATTTAGAAATTTTGATATCACTATTAAGAATTTAGAAATGGGCCAGGCACAGTGGCTCACACCTGTAATCCCAGCACATTGGGAGGCTGAGGCAGGTGGATCACTTGAGGTCAGGAGTTCAAGACCAGCCTGGCCAACGTGGCGAAATCCTGTCTCCACTAAAAATACAAAAATTAGCCAAGCATGCTGGCATGCACCTGTAATACTCAGGAGGTGAAAGAAGGAGAATTGGTTGAACCCAGGAGATGAAGGTTGCAGTGAGCCAAGATCATGCCACTGCACTCCAGTCTGGTTCAGAATCTATCTCATAAAATAGAAAAAAAAATTTAGAAATGAGTGGATGTAGCTATTCCTCCTAGTACCAGTCAAAAGAAGAGAATCTTGGTAATGACTTTCGAAGATGAGAGATGGAGGAACAACCTATACTTCTCATTTTAAACGCATGTTTTATAAACCTCTAACTTAGAATTTACTGCTGGGGAAAAAAAAAAACGGGAGAATAACCAAATCTAAGAAGTTGGATTCCCAGGAAATGAAAATTACATAAGCATCCTTTACTTAAAATTTGCCTTTTTTTAATTTTTTGAGATGGAGTTTCGCTCTTGTTACCCAGGCTGGAGTGCAACGGCATGATCTCAGCTCACCGCAACCTCCGCCTCCTGGGTAGCTGGGATTACAGGCACGTCCCACCATGCCCAGCTAATTTTTTGTATCTTTAGTAGAGACGGGGTTTCACCATGAAAATTTGCCTTTTGAATACTATCTTGAAACTAACAAGGACTATAAATTTGTACGACTGCTATATACATATCTACTTAACTCCAACTAATACTGCCAAATAACCTCCTATTAAATTGAAGCTGCAATTAATCCTTTCCTCCTAAGAAAGCAGGAAATATCTGCCAAGAGAGCTTAAAGACTACTGAATACATGTTTTCAAGGTTGAAGCAAAAGAGGTCTTTATGAAAATTAAGATATAGGTGAGAGAAGAGAAACAAAATAACATCTATAAGTTTGACCAAGCAAAACTGAATAAAGAAACATTTATAATGGGCTTTTGATCAATGAAAATGATTTATAACAGCCCATCCTTGTTTTAAATTTTATTTTTACCTGAGGTCGTATTTGCAGCATCTTGGCTCTTGCCATGACGATCTGCTTCTAGCCATTGGTACAAAACTACATAATGTAACAGAAACAAAAAAGCTTTATGAACAAATAAAAACAAACAAAAAGCAAAAATGACTTTGAAGAATGGAAAATGAGATTAAATAATTAACCAAAAGCAATTAAATAGGAGACATTAACATCAGAGTGTAGCTTAACACCAATGAAATGCAGCTGATAAGGGATTAGTAATGAAAGCAAAGAGAATAGGCAATTTTAACAAAAAATAAGTGAAATGCTATTAAATATCTGTAACAGTTTTTTGCATGGGAAATAGCACACATATTCTCTTCTTAGTGCTTACTTAAAGAGGAGTATTAGGAGAAAGCTAATGTCTCTATATTCAGATATAACACAAGTTGAGTATCCCTTATCCAAAATGCTTAGGACCAAGAAGGGTTTTGGATTTCTATTTGTTTCAGATTTTGAAATATTTGCCAAGAGAGCTAAAGACTCTTATATTTACAAGTTGAGAATCCTTAATTACAAAATCGGAATGCTGGCACTCAATATTTCAAATTTTGGAGCACTATGGATCTCAGATTTTTGGATTAGGAAATCCTAATCCTAAAGGCTCCTTTAGGCTCAACCTAAAAAGTATGACAGTAAGACTAAATGACCAATTTTAAAAATTATATTTTTAAATGGTGTGGCATGTTGGCTCACACCAGTAACCCCAGCACTTTGGGAGGCTAAGGCAGGTGGATTGCTTGAGGTCAGGCATTCGAGACCAGCCTGACCAACATGGTGAAACCTCGTCTCTACTAAAAATACGAAAATTAGCTGGGTGTGGTGGTGGGTGCCCAAAATCCCAACTACTTGGGAAGCCGAGGCAGGAAAATTGCTTGAATCCAGGAGGCGGAGGTTGTAGTGAGCTGAGATCGTGCCACTGCACTCCGGCCTGGGTGACAAAGTAAGACTGCCTCAAAAAAAGAAAAAAAAATTACATCTCAACCACTGCATACTGATTAGAATGGCTGAAGTCCCAAAAGCTGACTATACTAAATATTGACACGGATATGAAGTAATAGTGATTCTCACTCATTGCTGATGAGAATGCAAAATGGTATGGCCGCTTTGGAAGAGAGTTTGGCAAACCCTTACAAGGTTTAACAGTCTTATCACTAAGTCCATAACTCCAGTCTAATCATGAGAAAAACATGAAATTCCAAGGAGTAACCTGTCATATATCTAGTAAGTATTCATCAAAACTATCAAGGACAACAAAAACAATGAAAGTCTGCGATTCTGTCATAGCCAAAAGGAGCCTAAGTAGACATGACAACTTATGTGGATAGGATACCTCAACCACAAAAAAAGACTGATATGGTTTGGCTGTGTCTTCAAATTTCATCTTGAATTGTAGTTCCCATATTCCCCACATGTCATGGGAGGGACCCAGCGAGAAGTAATTCAATCTTGGGGGCAGTTACCTCCATGCTGTTCTCAGGATAGGAAGTTCTCACAAAATTCATGGTTTTATAAGGGGGCTTTCCTCCACTTCACTCTGCACTTCTCCTTGCTGCCCCCATGTGAAAAAGAATGTGTTTGCCTCCCCTTCCACCACAATTTTAAGTTTCCTAAGGCTTTCCCAGCCCTGTGGAACTGTGAGTCAATTCAACCTCTTTCCTTTATAAATTGCCCAGTCTTGGGTATGTCTTTATTAGTAGCATGAGAACAGACTAATATAAAAACATTAATTAAAAACTGAAGGGCCGGGCACGGTGGCTCACGCCTGTAATCCCAGCACTTTGGGAGGCCGAGGCGGATGGATCACGAGGTCAAGAGATCGAGACCATACTGGTCAGCATGGTGAAACCCCGTCTCTACTAAAAATACAAAAACTTAGCTGGGCACTGTGGCGCGTGCCTGTAATCCCAGCTACTCAGGAGGCTGAGGCAGGAGAATTGCCTGAACCCAGGAGGCGGAGGTTGCGGTGAGCTGAGATCGCGCCATTGCACTCCAGCCTGGGTAAACAAGAGCGAAACTCCGTCTCAAAAAACAAAAAAAAAAAAAACTGAAGAAATCTAAACAGATGCTGGGCGTGATGGCTCATGCCTGTAATCCCAGCACTTTGGGAGGCCAAGGTGGGTGGATTACCTGAGGTCAGGAGTTCAGAATCAGCCTGTTCAACATGGCAAAACCCTGTGTCTACTAAAAATACAAAATTAGTCAGGCATGGTGGTGCATGCCTATAGTCCCAGCTACTTGGGGGGCTGAGGCAGGAGAACTGTATGAACCTGGAGGAGGAAGTTGCAGTGAGCTGAGATAGCACCATTGCACTCCAGTCTGGGTGACAAGAGTGAAACTCCATCTCAGAAAAAAAAAAAAAAAAAGAGAAATTTAAATAGACTGTAGACTTTAGTTAGCAATAATGTATCAATAGTTATTCATTAATTATAATTAATGTACCATACTACTATAAGAGGTTAATGATAGGGGAAAATATGTGTGTATGTTGGTGGGGGAAGGGGAGGGAATGGAAACTCTATTCTCAATTTTTCTGTCAATCTAAAACTGGTCTAGAAAAACAATTACATTTTAGAAATTACATTCCAATGTTTAAGGTAAAAACACCAGTATATATTATATCCAATCTTGTAAGTAATCTACCTTTTATAAAGAAATTTGCTTTATATGAAATGCCACTTAATGATATTCCTAGGCATAATTATGAAGTGTCAATTCTTAAAGGAAAGTTTGCTACTGTAAAGACACAGGCTAATAATAAATTCACAATAGAGCTCTGTAACTTAGCAGCTTTGAAGGGTGTTAAAACTTCTGAATGTCTTTTATTGGTTACTCAGATGTCTACAACTTTCAGACATCTTTAAAAAGATGTCAGAGTCTTTAGTTTAAACAGTCAAATAATGATAACGTAGGGTACCAATGGCCAAGAGAGCTTGCTATCCACACCCCAAGGTTTGATGATCTAAGGAGAGCAACAAACACTAAGCTTCTATGCTGGGGGGCTACTTACCCACAGATACTGTGAGAGGTGAATATCCCAAACAAGGTTTATAGAAACTTTTCATGCTCTCCCCCCAACAAAAACAACACCAAAAGGCTGAGAAAGCTGCCTACACACTCCTGGAGTAATAAAGGAATCAATTTATTACAAATATCTAAGAGAACCCTGAAATCATCAGAGTAGTTACTTAGATCTCTGAGGGACAGCCAGGGCTGAGAACTGACATGCATGGTCATTGATAGAGCTCTGAGCAGACAAACATCCAATGTGCAAAGTCCTTGGTTGAGGGTGCCCCAGTGAGCACAGAGGTCAGCACCCTCCTCCAGAGACTGCACACTTCTGGGAGGCAAACAACTGTTAAAATTGGGACTAGCATGAAAGAATACCAAAAGTAGACCTCAATTATTAAATATATACTACAGGTATTTCTCTTCTCTTTAGTTTACAGGGATAACAGCTACTCATTAGAGGATGGGAGAGGGGAATTATACCATGACGCAAAAAATCTCCCCATTAGGAAATGCAAGCATGAACTTTACAACTGATACTGAAGGCTGGGTGCAGTGGCTCATACCCGTAAGCCCAGCACTTTGGGAGGCTGAGGTGGGCAGATCGCTTGTGTTCAGGAGTTTGAGACCAGTCTAGGCAACGTGGTAAAACCCTATCTCTACAAAAAATATAAAAATCAGCTGGGTGTGGTGGCAAGCGCCTGTAGTCCCAGCTACTCAGGAGGCTGAGGTGGGAGGATGGCTTGAACCTGGGAGGTGGAGGTTACAATGAGCTGTGATCCACTCCAGCCTGAGCAACAGGGCTAAACTCTGCCTCAAGACAAACAAAACAATTGGCACTGAAAATCACTTCCACAAAATGAGATGCAAAGTCAGGAAACGGATCCATTAACTGGTCTAACAGTATTGCCTAGTTCCTGTCTTAAGGCTGTATTTTCCCCTGATTAATGGGGAAACTCTTGGCTATGCTCAGGTTATCACTAGGAATATTTATCAATAGTTCTAATTACTTCATATAGCCCTAGTTTCTGGTTTTATCAAAGAGGTTGATCATGTTTGCTTTCATGTCTCATTGATAAAATCATAGTCTGTTTCTGACCACAGACTTTGTTCACAAAACAAAGCTAAGTCTCACACTATTTCCCTCTCTTCCTGTCCTGACAGGTAACCCCAGGAGCCTAGAAATTATAAACAAAATCATTAATAAAATGAGACATGAAAGTTATTCCAGGTATATTTAACCAGTTAGAGAACTACACATAAGCAAAAATAATTTTAATAGATTTACATATTCAAATATTTCACCCTTGCCTCTAGATTACCAAAGCCCAATTAACTTCAGTTTAAATAATTCATAGACTTTCCAGTGAAATAAATGCATTAGATTCAGGAATGCTATAATGTGAATCACCATTTATATAAAGTTTAGACTTTAAAGTCTACTTTATAGGACAAATATTTAAAAAGATAATGTATAATTAAAAAGCAAGTGTGACTAATTTTTTAACTTAACATACTAGAATGTACATGGGAAGCTCTGGAAATACTGAACTCCCAAAATTTCTCAATCTCCATAAAATACATGAAATACAGTATAAAGGGTCTGCTACTATGAACGTACATGATGAATGTAATGTATGATAGTCTACATTACACTAAACGTGAATGAGAAAAACTTTTTTTGCCTCATGCCATTCAAGTATTGTGGGGTTGTTATTAACAACAGTTAGCTATTTATGTGTTTATTAGCCTGAGTTTTTATTTGTGTTAGTTTTGACCTTCTGACTATAATACTAACAGCTGACTATCCTGTAGCTTCTGTTGACAACTCTCTACATTGCTTGTTACATGTTTAAATATAGAAGTACAGTTCTCCAAATATAGGACAGAATTCCCCCCCGCCTTTTTTTTTTTTTTTTTTTTTTTAAGACAGAGTCTTGCTCTGTCACCCAGGCTGGAGTGTAATGTTGCAATCTCGGCTCACTGCAACCTCTGTCTCCTGGGTTCAAGCGATTCTCCTGCCTCAGCCTACA